TGATTTTCAGTTTTGACATCATTACCATTTTAATGAATCTCATTAATTTAATGAATCACATTCTTTGCTAGGCTTTGCTCAATTTAGCTGAAAAGTAAAATTTTTTTAAATTTCAAAGGTGACTTTGGTCTGGGGGGGTACTGGTGTGGGTGTGTGTGTATCAGGCAGCGATGCCAAAGGACAGCCTGAATGGGACATTCAGAGGTACCACTGTTGGTGCCAAGTCCAGAGGTACCTTCGCTATACCTCTAGACATCTTTTAACCCTAGGAAGGAACTAGAAGAAGGAATCTTCTACTGCAAAGATAAATCAGAAAGTTAAGTTTAAATCACATTTGAATATAATTTGTACCTCGCATAGTTGGCCTTTTCTCAGAGAGGAAACAGTACTTGCTTGAGAATTAGTTTCTTCATCTAAACAGAAATTCTGTTATTATTTTTATGTAGTTTTAAACAATCTTGTTGAGATAAATCACAGTTATAAATGAAGGAATGGGTTAATTTTTTAAGAGAACATGAAGGATTTTTCTTCCTTGTATGTAGATGCTGTTGTGAAACTCTAGGTTAGAATCCAAGAGGTCCGATCAAAGAGCTTAGGCATTTTTGAAATCTTGTGGACACAGTTTCTGTCTCTTTTTATGTGTGATGCTTATTTATCAGGGATTTAGTTAAGTGCCGTGTAGTGTTACAAATTCTCCCTTCAACATCTAAGTAGGTGGTGGTTCTGAGGGAATTTTTAAAGATAACACAACTCTTTATTCCTTTCCCATTAAAGTGTAACCTTTCGTATCTGTTGACTTTTTTTCCCCTTTACCTTAGAAAAGAATTGCTTTTATTATTTTTCTTTAGAGCTCATGACTACATTAGAATAACTAACGCTCACAGTGAAAACTGATTTTAAAGCAGCAACTTATGGGCAACACAGGATATACTTTCTTTAATTTCCTAGATAACATCTGCTTTATAACATTTTTTTGGTATTTTACACACTGGTGGTATCTTAGAAGGACACACTTCACTGACATGATATTTTAGGATTTTGGAATTGGGATGTAACTGAAAAACAGTATTTGTTAAATATGGTTGATGTCACAGGGAGTACAATGATTCTTTTATTACATTTCATAATAACCCATTTCTCTTCTCCTAGATGGTTGTTAATAGGCCACAAGACTTGGCCCTGTTTAGAATTATTTAGTTTTACATGAGAGAATAGTTAAATAACTCAGTTCATCATTGGATTAGACCCATTGAATGGATACTTTCTTTAATAGTGACTTTTGCATCATTTTTTCATAGGCAGTGCTATTTAATGGGACAAAGCATAGACTTCAGTCCTTCACAGTCTGAAGGACTGAGGTTTGAGTTCTGACTTATTTCTTTGCTGTGTAACCTTGGACCAGTGTTCAGATTTTTTGAGCTTTACTGTCCTTGTCCATGAGATAGGGATACTACTTACATTGTCTGTTGTGAGAATGAAATGAGATCATGTCAAGAGCCTGTTACTTAGTTGGTACTCTAAAAATTAATGACAACCATTAATCATGACAATAACAATAATTTTTAGAGTTTGACTATCACTGATTTGTTAAATATTCTGATACATGCTTTCCCATTGTCTGAGTAGTAGGAGAGGGAGAAGATTCGTTCTAACAGAATAAACGGTGAAAAACTGAACAGAACATCCCTGATTTGTTTATCTACTATTTTAAGAGATTCTTGTTCACTAATATTCATTGGAATTTGAGAACAGGTTGAGCAACTGATGTAGAAGATATTTTCTTTGCTTCACATAATTTGAGAACACTACTTTTTACATCCTTTATATTTTTTTGACATGCATCCAAATTCTACATATTTTATCTCATAAGACACTATTATTATATTGCATGCATATTATTTATTTAGATTTACGCAGATACCCACTGTTGTTCAGCCCTGTCTTTGACTCCTTGAATTATCTGGTATCATTTTCCTTTTTTCTTTGGAACTGCCTTTAGAATTTCTTTATGCAGTTACCGTGGTAATACGTTTTCTCTTTTTGCTTATCTAGAAATGTCTTTATTTCACCTTTATCTTTTGGAGGGAATTTTTTTGCTAGTTAGAGAATGCTATGTTAGAGTTATTTTTAGTTCTTGAATTTCCACTTGACTAAAGAAAAAATAGATGATGTCTCTCTGGTGAAATTCTTCATCTTGTTATATTTTTTTTATACCATGTTTGCTATTTTGAAGCCTGTGTCAGATAATAAGTAGGCTTTTCGTGGATCTCTTTTTTATTGTCTGTTTTTTCTTTTGGTTTTCTTTCTTGGTATATCTGGTAGTCTATTACTGAAGTTGAGTTTCTGAAGAGTCAGGGAGCTAGAAAGGGGGAAGTGTCACCTTAGTATGGTCAAGGACTAAGGGCTGAGTGAGCAGAAAACTTGAAAAGTTTGTAAGGGTCAGTTTACCCTTTGGTTTACCTGTGCTCCTAGAGTGTAATGCTCCAGGAATTACAACAAAAAGGTTAGAGCAGATACCAGAGATCTCCTCTTTCGCGGGTTTGGACTCTCCTTTTTCTCTCTCCATGCTGTGAGGCTACTGAAATTTCCACACAACAAGCACAGGTTTGAACTCACTTTTCTGTAATGTCCTTCTCTCCAGGATCTTTGTCCCTCAAACCTTGGCTGCTTTGGCAGCCCCAGAATCCAGTTTTTGTCTTCATATCCCTGTGAAATTGGCAAAAGCTCCATGAGCTACTCTGCCTCTTGGCAGCTTCTTAAGGTTCTCAGTCTCCTGTCCAGGTTGACTTAAGACTCAATGCATGTACTCAGGTAAAAGCAGCACAAAGAAGGTTGGGCTACCTCAGGAAGCTTCCTGCCTTTCTAGATCTGGGATCATCAAACCCTGGCTGCCCTAGAGGCTCTCCAGGGTCTCAGACAGACTTTTTTTTCATATCCCAGTTTTCTAATTGTTCTTGCCTTGGTTTGCTGTAAGCTACTTTGTCCGTCAGAAACCGTAGTTCCTCCATTTCTTTTCTTTTCTGTATTGTGTATTGTGCAAAATCCTATTACCTGCCTCAGAATTAAGGAGTATGATTGGTTAGTTTTGTGGTTAGGCTACCTGGATGAATGGAAGTGCCAAGTTTCATTGGTTTTTCATTTATCTCACTATCATACCCTTTTACCTTCAGTTAGATATGTCATCATTTCTTCCATTTTATAGTTTTATTTATTTCAGCGAAGGCAATATTTCAGTGATGTCTTTAAGTGAATGAATATTTTAATATAGATAGTAAACATTTTAATAAGCTACTAATATTTCAATTTTATATTAAAAGCAGACTATAATACTCGAATGCATGGTAAAGCCTAAACCTTAAAAAGTTGTATTTGTAAGGATGTGAAAAAAAAATGTGTGAAGAAAGGCCTTCACAAATGTCGTAGTATGTCTCTTAGCTCACCTTTATTTTCTCTTGACTAATAAACATTATTTAGATGTGTACTTTTGGATGATTGTGCGAAAAATAAAATAGTGTCTTAAAACTACAGTACAGTTTATGAGTATAATCATAAACATAACTAGACATACAACTTCTATGATAAGAATTTATAAGTGAATTATTGACATAAAAGGATCCTATCCATATACCCTAACTAAAGAATCAGGTGTTAAATTTAGAATTGGGAACAAAACTCCTCTAAATTCCTTTCTTCCTTACATGTCCTATATGTCCTCCTTTGCTGATTGTAATGAAGGACCTTTGGGGCCAAGATGTTTTTAACAACATATGTGATTGGAAGTCCTTCTGAATAATCAAGGAAAGAAGATCAATCTTTGACTTATTTTTTTAATTTTATCTTGTGCGATAGGCATAAGAATGCACTTCACAGACCTCCAGCTAGAAAGGGGCTTCAGTAACCAAGGACCCCAGCTACTGTGCTCTGAAATCCTCTGCTGCTTTTGCACTTAAGATGTGTTTCCCTGGGGCGCCTGGGTGCCTCAGTCAGCTAAGCATCTGCCTTTGGTCAGGTCATGATCCCAGTGTCCTGGGATCGAGCCCCACGTCGGGATCCCTCCTCAGTGGGGAGTGTGCTTCCTCTCCCTCTGCCTCTCCTCCTTGCTCATACTCTCTCTCTCTCAAATAAATAAATAAAATTTAAAAAAAAAAAAAAAGATATGCTTCCCAAGGGCTGCTCCTAGCTGGCGCCTGAGAGGAGCAGGGAGACTAAAGCAGGCCGGTCACTGGAAATCAAGGAACTCTTGAAGGCTCACTGGCTCTAGTACTGCCTGCTGGTCTTGCTGATCCTTCCTTAGATTATACAGCAATCCAGGATGATGGCTTTCTTCTTTCTCACTCTCTTTCCTTCAGGTCTGATTTGTCTAACTGTCTGAATCCCTCCCCATTTTCTCTTATAGGAGTTTCCCTTACAGGAATAGAATTCTTTCAAGTTTAATCCTGTCATGGTGTCTGCTTCTCGGAGGACCTAGACTAACACATTCTACAATTTCTATAAAAACATACTATCATGTGAAATTACTAAGAAGAAAAAAGATGTTTACTATAACTTTAATGATGACAGTATTCTAATACTGCTGATTCTTAAATTTAGAAAAGTTAAAACTTCATATAATTGAGAGCTAGCCTCTCAGTTTTTTTCTCATAACAGTTTATTGTCTGTTTATATGTAAATTTGCTTTCAGAAGGCTGAATTATTACAGTAGACAGATCAGGAGCTCATGTTCTAAAAAACTGTTAATTTACTCAGGATGATTGGGTGGTTGTAAAGTATTAAGCAGTTTATAAGTCATCTTTGAGCTAACTAAGGATATTTAATCAGAAAGTAGAAGGAAATATTTCTGAGGATATGTTGATAAGTAATATATTGTTGAAAGCAGCATAATGAGTAGTAACAGATTTATTTGTTACAAATATTTGGTAAGTCTTGCTTTCAATTTATATGATTTATACAAGAATGCTTATATTTTATATGTTAATGTTAAAATTCTTCTTTCTTTGCAGAATCATGGTGAAAGATTCGTTTTCATTACAGAGTGGTATGATCCAAATGCTTCACTTTTTCGACGTTATGAACTTTTATTTTACCCAGGAGATGGATCTGTTGAAATGGTAAATGAACGTTTTTTTCCTTAAAAGTTAGCAAAGGGAGTGAAGATGGGAATAGGGAGAAGAGTAGGATTGCCCTCCATATAGCTGCTCTTGAAAATACTTTATATACATATATATGTTTTCTTCTTTTTTTAATGGGAATTCTTTTTTTGGTATTATAATTCTAATATAAGAAGATAACTTTGTGCCTTTACCTTTAATGTCAAATAGTAATTAATATTTTTTGGTTGGAAAACTGAAGTGGGGTTATTCATGCTTTAGATTAAGCAATAGTCAATAAGTGAATGTTATAGATAAAGATTATCATGGTCCTAAATATGTCGCCATTATTGAAAGCTGTTATCTCTACAACAAGTCAAATTGAAGAAGATCAGGTTAAGAGAGTCCCACTTATTTTTTTTTTTTGTCTCTTTATTGGCAACCATTTTACAGGTAGATCTCTTTGGTATTGGCATTGGTAGGCAAGAAAGCAGAAATTTGGAATTTTTCTGGGATTTCATAAGCACTAATTTGCTGAAATGATTTGGCAATAAACAAATCTTTTTATTCATGGTTTTTTAAAGTATTAAATTTGTAATAAGTTTTTGTATTATTACTAGATTGGACTAGGAAATACAGAAGTTATAAAAGAAATTATGATTTGTATTTGTAACAAAAATGAAACAATGTAAGCTATGTTTAATAAAGCAGAATTAAGAATCATTTCTAATTTATAGTACGATTAACATTGTCTATTGATAATTATTTGTCTTATTGTGTTGTTGGTTTTGGTTCCAGCATGATGTAAAAAATCACCGCACCTTTTTAAAGCGAACCAAATATGATGATCTTCACTTGGAAGATTTATTTATAGGCAACAAAGTGAATGTCTTTTCTCGACAACTGGTGCTAGTTGACTATGGGGATCAATATACAGCTCGCCAACTGGGCAGTAGAAAAGAAAAGTAAGAAAATCTTTTCTTCATTCTTAAAACATTGTATATGTCTTTGTACAAAAGTCTAATTTCTTGTTTCTATCTTGTGTTTTTTACAGCATAGATGCTTTTCCAATTCAGTGACCCAATTCAGGGTTATGACATTTTTAGGATTTTGAGGAGTAGATTCAGTGATTTGCTCTTCACTCAGATAACAAAGCAATGCCTATAGTCTTAGGCAATGATTATTTTCTGGAGGAAAAAATACAAACTTTTTATATGCCCTCATCTTTCTTCATAACATCATTTAACTGGGAACTGAGAATGTTGGAACATAAATAGTATTGGTGTATAGGATAAACCTGGCTTATGGGGAAAAAATAGTGACTGGCAGAGCAGGGAAGGCCCTGTGAAGGTATTTGAGCTGGATCCTGAAAGATGAATTGGATTTTTACCCAGTTAGATCAAGAGCAGGGAATGCTGGTCACAGGAATACGTATAAGCAGAGGTTCAAAGGCAGAAAGTTGTATGTCATGTACCTGGGAAGAGCCCATTGTTCTGTTTGACTGGTTGGTGGTTAAAATGTTTTTAAAACTTTGATTAGTAAAATAGTCTGAATTAGGATGGTAGCAGTAGGTCTGAAGAGGAAGAAATGTGCAAGATTAACAGAAGCAGAGGAATAGTAGTAATGGTAAGCATTCAGTGATGGATAGCTATTATTATATCAGGCATGGTATTAAAATGATCTGTGTGGGTTATCTGAGTCCCGTGACAACCTAATAAAAAAGGCACTATTATGATTAGCTCCACTAATCACTCCACTAAGTAGATGGGGGAGTTGAGGCTTGGAGGAGATGTTAAGTAGCTTGCTGACGGGCAAGAGGAGGGGCAAGATAAAGCCCCCAGCACAGTGTAATTCAAGAGTGGGAGGATTTCACCACAGGAGAATGGAGAGGACCTGGGAAGTGGTTGCCCTCTTTCTGCCTCAATCCTTTTGCGTGTCTTCTGGCACCTAGCACATCTCCTTACATGTTACGAGTACCTTATCTGTGTTAGCCGAATGGATCAGTGGATAGCAATTTAGAACTCATTATTTACTCTTGCCTTTTTAAAAAATTTCCTCCCTGTTTACAAATGATGACCTTTGATCCAGTTGACAAAGATGTTTTTGTGTAGATTGTTTGTAATGAATGTTGTCTATTCCTGAGCTTTATACACAGACATAATATATGTCTGATGAATATTGACTGATCAAGTGAAGAAAGAATGAGTACTACAAAAACAACAACAAAAAAGTAACATAATTATGATACACAGAAACTTACCTGTCTTGTTCACAACTGTATCCCTAAAGACCATTATTGTGATGCCTCAAACAGTAAATTATTCACAGGGAATGCCCCACAAAAATGTGCTGAATGAATGAATGAAGGAGTTTACATCACTGGAAATAGTTATGTCTGGAAGAAGTGCTGGTGGCTGGCCGGCCTCTCCAGCTTCTCCTTTCCTCCCACTGCATGCATCTCCTCCTCTGATGCCCAGAAGCTGCAGCATGGGGCCTTCCAAGGGCCCTGTCTCTTTAGTCTTCTCCCCATACTGTTTGTCAGAGCTGTTTGTCATCCTGACTTTACCTCGGTTCCGATTTAGAAGAGAGACAGAAAATGTTGGAGATGCAGCTGAAAATCAGGCTATACTGAAAACAATTACTTTTTTACTAATGTTTTTCTTCAGAATGTCAGTTTTCAGTATTACTAAGGTGGCATGTTCATTTTCAATCTCTACATTTATGAGTTTGCAACCTTCTGAGGCTAGAATGGCTGTATTTGAATTGAAATTTTACTTCTTTTGTCATCTTTGTTGGCTTCGGTTTCTGTGGCTTATATATTGTATTGTCTTGGGAAATTTCTTGCATCGTGGAGTGATTATTGTATAATTAAAAGTAGGGACCACTAGTGGAAGGTAAGTCTATCTATATAAAAAGCTCCAAATACCATTTAATTTGATAGGAAAAAAAATCTGTCCAACTGTCTTTTGAGGTCTACCACCAAAATAACTAGTTGATTATATAATATCCGATATCCCGATAGTAATATTCTTTTGTGACTTCTTTACAAGCCCCTTGTAGCCCTTTATACAAGTCCTTTATAATTCTCAAGGTGGTTTGTGCTCATTGTGGATATAGTACACAGGTGGTGATGGATCAGAGGGGTGGTGAATGCTTCATATAAAAAGACCACTCCCAGAATAACTCTGAAATGGGGAAAAAAATTTGAATGTTAGAGAAATAGGAATCTCTCATTGTTATGAGGTCTAATGGTGAAAGTTTATGAAATTAAGGAAACATCTACCATAATTCCTTTATTTGCAAGTAATAAATATAGCTTTAAAGTTTTTGAGCACATGCTGTATGCGGAGTGCTGTGATAGGCACTTTTCATGTGAGTCTCAGTTCAAGACTAAGTTTTCATTTAAACTAGCAAAAGTAAATGAATTAGGGAGACAGGGTTATTAATAGGATGACCCAATCAAAATAGAACAATAATGCCTGTAGCAATTATAATTTGTAAATAAATTCTACTTATTTATTTATTTTTTGGGGGTTGGTGGTGGCGGGGCAGAGGCAGAAGGAGAGAGAGAATCTCAAACAGACTTCATGCTGAGCGTGGAGCCTGACCTCACAACCCTCAGATCATGACCTGAGCCAAAATCAAGAGTCAGATGCCTAACCGACTGAACCACCCAGGTGCCCCAGTATATTAATTCTATTTGTCTAAAGTGAATGTCATTGATTCTGTTTTATAGAACAATTAAGTAACATGGCCATAGTCAGAGCTAGAAAGTCAAGAGAACCAGTAAACCTTGTTGCATTTGACTCAAACTCATTCTTTATTAAGCCTCTAATTAATATGTTGGTAAATATTGTTGAATGGGACTGATTTCAAAAGAGGAGGAACCAAAGAATATGAAGACATTTTAAATATTTGGGCTTTATAAATATAATTAATGAACACATATGCAGTGTTATATTTTTACTGACTTAAACTGTTCCACCATTTTCTCGTTTTTTTATTTCCCCCACCATTTTCTCTTTTGATTCTTTCTTAACTGCATGTGGGCTAGTAAATCCAGCAACCATTTGGCTGATTTAAATAAACTTCAGAATTCAAGTTTAAAAAATGTAGTTTCATTTAAATGACCAAAAAAGTAGGTATATGGGGAAATACATGTGTGTCTATCATGATCCTATAGAAATAACCTGTATGTAATAATTATAACTTAGTCTTGTTCTCAGTGTGTATTGTATCAAGGATGATTTATGAACTGAAGATATCCCTGTTATATTCCTCATACTCAACTCCTTTCTTTATACCAGAAAGAAATAGTAGGAGGAAAAAGTAAAATTGATCTCTTTGGTGCCCGTCAGCTAATTTTGAGGCAGTTATGCAGATAATTCAGTGTAACTCAATTCAGCTCTCAAACCAGCCTTGGCTTTGCAGTTCCCTTAGATTACAGACATATGACATTTGACTCACATTTCTACTTCTTTTTTTAAATCTCTTTTTTGAGTTATAATTGACATTAAAAAGCTGTAGCCATTTAATGCATACAACTTAATGACTTTGGAGATAAGTCTACACCGTCAAGCCATCACCACAATGAAGAATAGAAGTCTGTCTATTACCTCCAAAAATTTTCTTCTGTTCTCTTTATTATTTTTTCATATTGATTTTTTTTGTGGTAAGAGCACTTAACATACAATTTACTCTTTTAGCTAATTTTAAATCTGTTTTTTCTTTTTAAAGCTCCTTAAATCAGGGACACCTGGGTAGCTCAGTCGGTTAAGCAGCTGCCTTCGGCTCAGGTCATGATCCCAGGGTGCTGGGATCGAGTCCCACATCAGGCTCCCTGCTCAGTGGGGGGCCTACTTCTCCTTCTGCCTACCATTGTGTATTTCTTCAGTTGTTTTTGTGAACCTAATGACTCATTATTATTGTTCCATATAATCAGTTAACAATTCGACTTCACAACTTTTGGCCTTTTTGTAGTAGTATTTTTTACCTCAGACATTCTGTTTGGGATTATTTTACTTTTGCTTAAATTAGAATTTCTCTTAGAGTGTTCACTGATAGAGAACTCTTTCAGCTGAAAATGTCCTGATTTCACTTATATTCTTGAAACTGCCCTCTTCTCTATGTCATATGTTTTTGTTGTTTCTCTGTGCTTTATTCTGAATTTGTTCAAAATTCTTTCATCAGTTACATCTAGTCTTCTGTCAAACCATTTGGTTCTTATTTTCATTTTTGTATTTTATCACTAGCGATTCTAATAGATTCTTTTTCAAATCTAAGTATCCTTTGTTGATAGCTTAGACTTTCCTGTTGCCTGATGCTATTTGCAGCTTGCCTTTCAGTCCTTCCTTTAGCCATAGTTTGCATGGTCATTTTACAGTCTATGTTTGACAGTTCTAGTAGATGAACTATTTGTGGGTCTCTCTGTTTTATGCTGTGTCTTCTGGTTCTCCCTCATGTTGGTCTTTTTTATTTGTGTGTGTATGTGTGTGTTGTGATTGTCATGTGTCTGGATGTATGTGGATGTGTATATATGTGTGGTATATGTGTGTTGTGCGTTTATATATGAATTATTTGAGATACAGGATGAAGTCACCTGCTAGGGTGGAATTGTGTTTCCTTCTGAGTGATGCCTGGAGGCATTAGCAATCTGGATGATTGGTACCCGAGTGTAAAATGGTGAGTTCCCAGACTACCTAAGTGATGTGACCTTGTGCTGCCAGACCATGCAAGGCCTGGTTCTTTCTGATTCACCCTTAGGGTGTAGCCTTTGGTTCCAAGTTATTATAGGAAGAATCCTCTATTGGGTTCCGTTACCCTTTGCCTGTGAGGTGGTACAGATTAAAGTTCAGATTAGCCAGACAAAAGCAATGCTGGCAAGGTCAATGCAACTTTCGTTCTCATTTTTCTGGGTCTCCATTTTTCTTTCACGTTGGTACTCATAATTGTTTAGCATCTAGTC